GAGCAGAGGAGTTTTCCCTAGAAACTGGTCAGGATTTGGGAGGGATATGTGAGGGTGAGTCTGCGATCTGAGTGGCAGGTGGAAGCCACTTGGGTGCGGCATTGAGGCGGGACCACCTGGGAGCCTGCCAAAGGCATCCTCTGCCTGGGGGCTTGGCCTTTGAGGCTCTGGCCCCAGCGGTCTGTTCATTCAGTTTGCTCCCAGGTGGTCTGGGGAGCCACGGGGGTGCACCTGGGAGGGACTGCGGTCCATGAGGTGCCTTTGTCATCCTTCTCTTGGGCCATGGGGGGGGTGTCCTTTGTCCTTTGTGCATCTCAGACTTCTGGGTAGGGGGCTGGGAAATGAGGGGGTGCCCACCCACCTGCATTGCCAAAGCCCCACTGCACACATTTTGCCCCCTGTGGCCCGCAGGGGCTGGGGTTTATATGTTGGTTTGTTTGTTTATTTACTTATTTTACTTTGGGTAGTGGTCTGAGCCCAGAGCTTGCGGCCTCAGGCGGGGTGCTGCCTCCCCTCCTACCTGCCCTTATGAGACTCCAGAACGAGTTCCCAGGCCTACCGAGGGGTGGTTTTTTTGAGTTCTTGCCCGCACTTTCCCCCAGGCACCTCTGCCAAAATGTTGTCTGGTTTGTGGACCCGGCAGGCTTTGTAAGCGTCCCTGGACAGCTGACTTGCACCAAGAGGAGTTTAATGGAAAGCCCTTTCTTCTTCTCTTTGTTCGGGACTGGCTCCCTCGGCTCCGGCCTCCCTCCATCCCACAAGGTTGCCCTGGAGCCCTGGGGGCATGCTGGTCTGGGTGTTGGGTGTGTTCTCTGTCCACAGCTGTGGGTGCTTCAGGGAATGGTTTGGTTTGATTTGAAGACAGAAAGAGGGGTCTCTTGCGTCTAGAGGTCAGGCAGATCTGGGCCCCGAACACCATAGTGCTGGACTCAGGAAAATAATTTCTTGGGTCTGGGCCTCAGTGTGACAGCTTTGAATGGGTGCAGTTGGGCAGGGATTTCTCTCGGGGGTGGGTGGGTGGTGATCCTTTGGCCTGCAGCCCAGGCTCTGACCCCACCTCCTCCCCTGCATCTTCACCCACATGCCGAACTCTGCCAATGTAACTGGGGAACGCGCCTTGTGAAGCCCTAATAGCACCAAGATCGGGGCGTGGAGAGCAGCAGACCCCCCTTTCCTCCTGCTCCCGTCACTGCATCCCTGAGAAATCACATTCCATGTTCCCCTGGCTGTCTTCTCGTCTGCTTCTGCATTACCTCTGTCCTTCTAACGGACAGGCAGATGTTAAACATTTTTTAAGTTTAATGCCAATCAACTTTCTGCCCTGCAAGGAGGATTAGCTCTCAGACAGCATCCTCCCCGACTCCGTTCTGACTCAGTTATACCACCTTTTCTTTCTTTGGAGAAATAATGTTGATTATGTCTGTGAATGCCATACCGAGCTGAGTCATGGGTTCTGGTAATTATACTTCCTCTTCTGAGTAGCTGACCCTCTGGACAGAACGGCATTTCCTGTCTGCCTGGTTCCCGGCAGGTGCTCTTGACCCACTACAGCTGTGCCATCCCCACTTCTGCGGAAAGAGCTGGCTCCTCTTTGTTCTGTGTCCTCCTGGCCATGGCCCACCCGCGCCACGCTCTGCCCAGTGAGCCAGGGTGGCATGAAAGCTCCTCCGTCACCTGGCTGGAGTCTCCCCGCTTTCCCTCTTTCTCTATTTTCTCCCTGGTAGCACAGGGTCCAATGACCGCAGCACCCTCCTGGGCACGGGCTGTTCAGGACCTGTGTCCTCGCCCAGGGGCAGTGGGCTCCTTGGTGGCCGTTGAGGGAACCACTCCACCCCCCTGTGGCTTCCAGCATCGCTGCCCATCATATCCCAGTTGTCAAGCCCTGGGTACTGGGTGTGAGGAGTCTCCTTTCTACCTGACCTGCCTTCTTCCCCCAACTAGCCCTCAGCCTTTGGACCTCCGTGTCAGCTTTGCTTTGGCCAGTTTTGGCAAGAATCCTTTTAAGTCAGTTTAGTGAGAGCCCCGCCCGCCCTTGATGTCTGATCCGGTCCCCATCCTGCACCTCCTGGTGGTGTCTGGTCACCCTGGCCTGCATCAGTAAGAATCCCAGCCCCACGCTTCCTTAGTAATTTCTGACCCACTGACCTCCTGCTTCTCGTCTGTGAATCACCACGTTCCAGGCTGTGTCTGCACGGAGCCCGGGTCCACACGGAGGTCTCTGGTACCCACGGCCACAGCCCCACGCTGGCCTTTCTTCAACACAACTGCAGGTTTTAGTTCCTCGTCATGGTGCCTGGTTCTTGAAGGGTGGCAGATATGTCACCCCAAAATGTGCCTCTTTGGCATAAGGATTATTTTGAGCTGGTTATTTTGAGAAACGGCAGACACGGGAGATGCCCCGAAGCAGAGTGGAAGTCCCCCTTCTGTGCGGGACGTTCGCATTGATAAAGGTAACCTCCGTGTGTAAGCGTGTGTCCGCTGTGGACGAGGAGGGGGACCCACGACTCCAGGTCCCAGAGACAGGTTCCGATTTGAATCTGGGTGACAACCCCGCGCTTGCTTACGGTGCTCTTCCTGGTCACCCCCGTGCCTGGCCTCCCCCCACTTTCCTCCTTCTGTCTTTGCTCAGGCAGCTCCAAAAGCCCTGGGAGTTCTTGTGTCGGAACCCAAGGGAAGAGACCGAATGTGGATCTCCTGCTGTACCCCAGGCGCTATATCAGAACCCCACATGCCGGGCAGCCAACACGCGGACGTTTCTTCTCTCGCCGTCCGTCCAGAGGCTGGACTCCAAAGAGCAGGTGCAGGGCTGGTTCCTGGTGAGGTCTCCTGCCTGTCCCTGCGTGGCCCGTCCCCGCGTGGCCCGTCCCCGCGTGGCCTGGCGCCCGCATGTGCAGGGGGAGATATGCAGTGTTGCTTTCTCCTCCTACAAGGACACCAGTCCTAGGGGATTGGGCCCCACCTCTTGACCTCCTTCAACCTGAATCTCCTCCTTAAAGGCCCATCTCCAAATGCAGTCACACTGGGGGTCGGGCCTCAACCCAGGAACTTGGGAGACACGTCTTTGCATGTGGCCCTGCCCGGTGTCTCCATTTCCTTTGTCCCTTCACCGTCCCTGTTTTTGGAGCCGTACGTATGAGTTGGCCATGTGTCACCCTCTCTGCCCTGCAAAGCTCCACTGGACCCGTGGCAAATGGACCAGGGGCCTGGAGGCGTGGGGGCAGTAGCACTGGCCCTCGGAGTCACTCTGTTCTCTCTGTGCGGCCTGGGAGGAGGCAGGAGCACAGCAGGAGACCGGGCAGGTGGTGGGTGAGGCCAGAGGTACGCAGGTGCCAGCCCCTGGCAAGAAGGGGCAGGGACGACTCGGCCAGTGGGGTCACTGGGTGCGTGCTGGGCGGGAAGCCAGTGTCTGGCGGGAGACTGAGCGGGGCCAGCTTTGGGGGCCACCCCCGTTTACTTCCTTTGTAGTCTGAGGCTCCTTTGTAGTTCTGTTGTGGGCCGTCCCCCGAGCACAGCCCCAGGTGGGGTTCGGGGATGGAGGGGAGGCCTCCCGCCCTGTAGCCAATGGCTTGGCCATTCTGGGAACCTAAACTGACTTTGGGGATTGAGTGTCAGCCCCTCACTGAACCTCAGTGTCACCACCTGTGAAATGAGGACAAGAAAATCAACCTTGGCAGTCTTGCTTTAGAGACCACTAATAATTTATGTTGGCGGCTCTGCAAGGTGCACGGAAAGCAGTGGTCCTGGGGCAGCAGAGGGCTGGGAGCCCAGGAGGCACCAGGGGCTCTGACTTCCAGCTCCTTCTGATCCCAGGTATTCTCCGGGATTTATGTCAGCCCTCAGCAGCATCCTCCTCTTGGAAGCCCAGGGCCTGGCCTATCGCGGTCCCCTGTGCCCACACCACACCCCATGTAGGCAACAGTCTTGGGGAGCCTCCAGGCAGGGCTCCCAGAGGAGGACTCAGGCCCTGCGGCCAGCAGGGCTGGACCTGTCCCAGCTCCACTGGGCAAAGCCGGTGTGCCCACAGGTGGCAGGTCTGTGTAGACGCGACATTACCCTCTGGGACTGGCCCGTGTCTTCGGGGACCCCCACCCAGCTCTGTCAGCACTTGCCACACCAAGAGTGGGACAGGTGGCTTCCCCACCTCCTCCTTCCCAGACAGACATGGCCCCAGACTACCTGTGGCACCTTGAAAGCTGAGCTTTGGTTATGGCCTTACTTCTGTGGAGGGTGGGTGGGTGGGTGGGTGGCAGCTGAGCTCAGGGCATAAGGGACCCAGACCCCAACATACATTTGCTCTAGTTTTATTGCACTTTTACCACATTGCAAACTATTCCACAAAAATGCCGCAAAATTAAGCCTGTTGCTGAGGCCCTTGGAGGAGCCTATGTGATGTATTTACACCAGCTATCAAAGCAAAGTCAGAAGGCGAGCAGCACCCTCGGCCGCCAAGGGAAGTCACAGGTGCTGCTGGGCGGCTCTGAGAAACGGAAGACGTGGTCGTTGGCGTCACTCTGAAACCGGGTCTGTCTGTCAACCAGCCTGTGACGCCATGGGGAGCCTCCTGTGCCCAAGCCGAGGCTGTCAGCCATCTGGCTGCAGGGCCGCCGGAAGGGAGGAGAGACGGGAGCTTGTTTCAAGTTAGGTCCAGAGTGTGGGTGCACTTGGCGGGACAGTCCAGCCCCAGGGGCGCAGCCCCCATGTGTGCATTTGGTAGGTGGTGTGGGGTCTGCATAGGTGTCACTATTTATATACATAGACACCATGTATAAATACAAAATAGTAAATAAAGGCTTCCTTTCCATACAAAAAGGGTGGGTTGCCCCTGCCGCCAGGCTGCCTCGTCCATGAGCACAGAGCGCCCCTCCCCAACCTTCTCCGGTCTCGAAAGCGAATACAGTGAGTCCTGTCGGACCCACTGCCAAAGGAGCTCACATTCCCGCGGTTCCTGACTCCAGGAGTGGCCCGTCCGTTCCTGAAGTCACTGAATTCACAGCGTGGACGCGCCTGTCCCTCCTCCATGGCAGGCCGGCGGCTCTCGGTCACTACCTGCCGGGGGGGACTCTGTGCTCAGGGTCCAGGTCATCCTCCACCACGCTGTGGGGCCCATCCTTCTCCACGCAGTCCCTGATGGCCTGCAGCACGATGCGCAGCCGCCGGTCCAGGGCCTCTAGGTGTGGCCGGTACAGGATGGGGGCCACCCGGTCCTTGTGCAGGGACTCCGCCATCATCAGGCTCAGCCGGTACTCCTCCTTGGCCAGGAGCTGCAGCCGAAGGTAGGTGGACTTCCTGACCCTACAGGGGAGAAAGAGGTCAGGCCCCAGCCTCCGGGAACTGGGGACAGGGGAGGCCAGCTCTAAGTGGGGGGTGGTTGCAGGTTGGTCCCTGGCCTGCTCCGGCCCCTGCCTCTCAGAGGCACCACGGTGAGGGTCCTGCCTGGCAGAGCAGGTGGCCATGGGAGGCCTGGCGGTGCCCGCAGGGACCCGAGACTCCAGGCAGACGCAGGGCGGGGAGGGATGGCCCATGCGTCTGGGAGACCGAGCCCAGCTCAGCCCCACACACCTGCCCCGGCAGGGTGCAGCTGGTTCTGCCCCATGGCCCGTTTCCCCAACCCTAAAGGGAAAAAGTTGGGTGGGGAGCCCCACAGAGGGTTGCAGCGAGTGGCATGGAGTGCTGGAGGGTCAGGACGGCTGTCTGAGCCTCAGCAAGTTCATCTGTGAGACGGGCCGTTACAACTGGCATGAGCTATGTGCCGGGAAGGGCTGTGGATGCTGGAGCTCGAGCTGCTCAGGCTCGGGGTGCTGTGCCGTGGGAGTGGGGCTTGGGGGCCTCTGCCCAATCTGTGGCTGGGCTGGGGGCTCCCGGGCGGGGGGGGGGCAGAGGGAGAGGCCATACCTGCAGCATTGCTGTAAAGGCACCAGAATGGACAGCTCATCATGGGAATATTTCCCAAACCTGCCAAAGAAACACAGAATTGTTGAGGGTGCAACATGCAGCAGGACACCTGTGTGCAGAGCCTGCAACACGCACCCCACGGGGGACCCGAGAACGAGCAGCACCTCGTGTGTGCCCTGCTGGAGTGCCACGGCTATGGACGACTGGGCAGTGTGTCCCCAAGACCCTGTACAGTGTGGCCTGGTCCCTGTTGTCCCCAGCACCAGACGCAGGGCCTGGGACAAGGCAGGTCCCTGAAAGCGGCCTGGTGTTCTGGCCGCTGCACTGGACGGAAGCTCACAGATGCGGGGTCTGAGGCGGGCTGAGTGGAGAAGGCACCAGGGTGAGTCAGCCCAGGGTCCAGCCCTGCTGCTGTCTTTGACAGCATGGCCCACACACATCAGCTGTTGGGTGCCCGATGCTGACTTGTCTGAGGCATCTGAGCACCAGCAGCGTTAAGCACTTAGGAATGGTAGGTCCCCGCATGCACACCCATCAGGCAGACGTCTCTCCTAGGTGGCCCAGGACTGCCCAGGGGCCAGCCAGCGGTGGCCACAGGCCCTCTTTGTGGGGCAGGGAGAGCCATTTGTCCCAGCTAGGCAGTCCCACATGACCACGTGAGGGGTAAAGTGCACCGCACGGCTCTGCCCTTCTGGGCAAGCAGACTCTGTGCCTCAGTTTCCCCAGGGCAATACGAGGACATAACAGGACCCAGCACACAGGGTGACCCTGAGGACCGGGAAGAGTAACACTACAGGCGCTTCCTGCCGACAGGAGCTGGAGGCTAGGGGCCAGCGCCCTGCATCACACACACAGCGTCCTTGGGGGACGGCCACCATCCCCCGCTCGGAGCCCTGTCCTCCCGGGTCTGGAAGAGCAAGAACATGGCTCACCCTCTTCCATTGTCTAAGTGGATGATAAATGTCTCGTTCCCAAACTTCTCAAAAGTCTCATAGTGGTGGCGGTCCATGTTCCCTGTGGAGAGAAGCAAGCTGAAAATTCAGGGCTGTCCCCCGCTCCCCACGTCTGACCCTGGAGCCAAAGCGACAGAGCAAAGCAGGTGCTTGGCCACAGCTGGGTCAAACGCAGGTTGGGAGCTCCCGGTGCAGGCTGGGGCTGCCAACGTACCCATGAGGAAGTCAAAAATGGTCATGTCCATGATGTCCAGGACACGATGGCTGCTGTCATAGGGGGGTGTCTGCTTCACCTCCTCACAGTAGTCGGGGTCCACTTCCCACCTGCAGGGGAGCCAGTGTGAGAAGGCCAGTTTCCTCCTCTGTGTGGACAGGGAGGCCCAAACCAGCTCAGCACAGCAGGATTACTGCGGCGAAGACTGGGGGTGGAGAGAGGTGTCACCACAGAACAGTGCTGCCAGCTAAGGCTGCATTAACAGGAGTAAGGGGCTGGGAGGTGATCGAGCCATGTCTGGAGGCTGCCGTTCGCCCCAGATGCCAGGTTTCTGGAGGGTCCCTGTTAGGGCCTGGACACCACACTCCCAGGCTCGGAGGGGCCATCTCTTTTGCATGAGGGACAAGAAGGACGAGGAGTGGAAGTGGAGTTCCAACCCTGAGAGGCTGTTTCCAGACTGCAGTGGGCCGGCCAGCACCCCTGGGGGGATGCAGCTGGTTCGCAGAGTCCGGCAGCCCTTCCCGCCATCTACTCAGGAAGGGGTGGTCTCGCCCACACTGGGGGCAGGCGAAGCTGGGTGTGCCTCCCTTCCTTCATTCTCCTTATACCCTGTGGCCGTCCACAGGCCTGAGGCCCCTCTGAGCAAAGTGGGCAGAAGCCTCTCAGACCCCGTGGTGTCAGAATAAGGAGGATGCGGGCCACGTGTGGGGGGTGCCGCCCGACACTCACTCTGCCTTCTTGCGCTTGTGGTACGAGCGCCGCCAGGGGTTCCGCCACGTCTTCCTCTTGGCCAGGGACAGGTCTGGCAGGAAGGCCGCCAGCGAGCCCTCTATCTGGTCCGGCTTCCCGCACAGGGCATGTTCCGTGGAGCAGTAGTAGGAACACTCGCCATAGAAGCAGATGTTGTTGGCTGGTGGCAGACGAGCACACTGGTGAGCGGGGAACAACACCCTCCATGCCAGCCCTCCCCACACATCTGTCCTGGGCCCGGCCCCCGTCCACACCATCCGTCTGGGCCAGGCCCCCATCCACCCCATCCGTCTGGGCCAGGCCCCTGTCCACACCATCCGTCCGATGGGCCCCGGTCCACACCATCCATCTGGGCCAGGCCTCCATCCACACCATCTGTCTGGGCCCGGCCCCCTTCCACACCATCCGTCTGGGCCAGGCCCCCGTCCACACCATCCGTCTGGGCCAGGCCCCCGTCCACACCATCCGTCTGGGCCAGGCCCCCGTCCACACCATCCGTCTGGGCCAGGCC